ATAATAATAATAATAATGATGATGATATAATAATAATAATGGTAATAATGATAATGATGATAATAATAATAATGATGATAATGATAATAATAATAATAATAATAATAATAATAATAATAATAATAATAATAATAATAATATTGATAATGATAATAATAATTATGATAATAATAATGATACTAACGATAATAATGATGATGATGTGATTTTGATGATGATGCTGATAAAGATAATAATAATAATAATGATAATGATAATATTACTGAAAATGATAATAATAACGATAATGATAACAATAATAATAATAATTATTATAATTATTAATTATCATAATTATTGTTATTATTATCATTAACATCATTATCATTAATTATTACAGTTATTATTGTTATTGTTATCTTTATTCTTATTATTATTGTTATCGTTGTTGTTGTTGATAATGATGTTCGTATTATTAATTTTAGCATTATTATTACTATTGTTATTATTATTATCATTATTATCATTATTGTCGTTGTTGTTATTATTGTTATTATTATTAATAGTAATATTATTATCCTCAGTAGTATTGCTATTATTTTTATTATCATTATCATTACCCTGTTTATTTGTTTACTTATCCGACTCGTCGTGGACTTCTTCATTATTGGTTCTCTCATTTATCCATTATTTCTCATGTCCTATTTTTGGCCAGTATTTGCTTCAGCCCAATCGTCAGCTTCGTGACAGATATTGACATTATTACATTATTCACTGATTATATCTCTTAATCACAACCAATTGTTCCCAATTACCTATTTCTTCCCCAGTCTGATTATTAGCCTCATTCTTTTTCCTTATTCTATGTCTTCATTCGTCAGTTATTGCATGTTCCCTTTTACCGTACCTTCCTTATTCTGATCTTCAGTTGTGCTTATTCTTTCTATCTATACAATTATTCCGTTTAATCTCGCCCTGAAGTCTTCATATCTCCTGTTAAAACCAATGATATCACAAGCCGTATCTCGTCGTCATTAAAATCCCATTAAACCAACTATTCAACAACCCATTTACCCATTTTTTTTTGTCTCTCTCCCTCCTTTCCCTCCCTCCCTCCCTCACCTCCCTCCTTCCTTCCTTTCCCCCCTACAGCCTGATCATCAGTTTCATGACGACGCCGGAACAACCTGCGTGGTATGGCTACCTGCTCACCGTTCTCCTACTGGTGTCGTGCGTTTTCGTGACGGTGATAAAGAACCGGTACTTCTACACCATGTTCACGCAGTCTGTTAGGATACGGTCGGCCATCATGACGGCGGTGTATCGAAAGGTCTGTTTGTTTATGATGTTTTTTTTTTTTTTTTTTTTTTAATTGTTTTATCTATTTGTTTGTTTTTTATCTACTTTTTTTGTGGGGGGTTGTGGGGGTGGGGGTGGTGGGGGGGGAGGGGAAGGGGGAGGGGTTTGTCTTGTTCTTGTACGTTTCAATTTTTTTTTTTTTTTTTTTTTTTTTTTACATTTGGTGGTTTATTCTGTGCTTTGATGGGTGTTTTCTTTCTTTTTTTTTTTCCATTTCTTACTTTTCTATAAGATGTTTATTCTTTTAGTTCTGACGTTCAATTCAGAGTGTATTTGTTGTATCTTTCTTGTATATTTTGTTTTTATTTATTGTATTTATGATAATAATAATGATAATAACTAGAAAAGCACTCAGGGAGTGCAGACCTCCGCCAAGGTGCGTATAGTCCAAAAATATCATGATTATCTTTCGGATGTACTTACACCGCTGCTGCGTCCAGACGGTAATTCGGAATGTCACCAAAATTTAATCAGTTCTAAGTTAGTCCCTTTCCGGCAAGCACTTTTTGAGCTACGCTGCTAACAAACCAACAAACCAACGCCGTCAAAAACATAACCTCCTTGGCGGAGGTAATAATAATAATAATAATAATAGTAATAATAATAATTGTTATTATTATTGTTATTATTACCATTATCATTATTATTGTCTTTATTATTATTGTTCTCATTATTATATTTTGTTCTCTTTAGATTTTGCTCTTCTTTAAGATGAAGGCTATCTATCGAAAAGTCTGAGCGATTATTTTTTTCGGATTCATATTTTTATGTTTTTTTTTCTGGTCCATTTTTCTTTTTTCTTACTTTTCTGCAAGGTGTTCAGAGTGCGTTTAGCTACCATGGTAACTTAAAAGTCTGCTCTGAGTGTGTTTTGTTCTTCAAATTGTTCATTCTGCCGGCCTTAGTGCATACACTACCCTCGTCCCAACCGCGTTTACTTAAATATCTTTATTCTCTTGAATTCACTGATAAAGATTATGAGGTTATGAGGTTGCGATATGTACTTTACACTGACGTCGAGATAAAGGCTATAGGGTTATATCCTATACAGTAAATCTGGCATCGAAACAAAAGCTTTGGGATTATAGACCATCTAACATCCTATAAAAATCTGCTGGGCTGACAATAGAAGGCTTCAACAGTCTGTAATTGTAATAAGGCTTCAACAGTCTATAACGATATAACCTGTAGTTTAGGCTATTAAAAAAATGGAGGAGAAGAGTCTATAGAAGTGTCCTTGTAGCATGACCGTCGCTTTGTGAAAGATCATTCGTTCTCTCCAGAGTTTTATTGATGAAGATTACGAAGATATATTGCGAAATTACTGAAAATACAAATTTGAAAAATGTAAAACAAAAATGGATGTAAATATGCTGTATAGAATAATAAAAGCGATATGAATATTAAAGAAAATACACCATAGATAAGAGGATAATAAGAACAATGAAGTAACAGATATATTGAATGCATACCATAAATACTTTACGAAATAATGCCTAAGTTCGTACCTGAGTACGAATATAGAAAACGGCATAGCGAAGCAGAAGGAAAACGTAATTATCAAGACGAACTCAACCAAATCTTCGTGCTCACTGCAACCTTCGAATCGCAGGCCCTGAGTCTCTCCAGCGCCGCCCGCCGCGACTCTACCGTGGGCGAGATCGTCAACCTGATGGCCGTGGACGCGCAGAGCATCGGCGACACCGCCATCATGTTGTGGAGTATCGTGAGCTCTCCGACGGTCATCCTCATCTCCATGGTCTTCCTTTGGCAGGAGCTCGGTAGGTTTCTGTGAGCGGTTCGTGCTCAGCAAATCGTGCGTAAGTTTTCGTTCGTGTGATAATACATAAAAGGAAAGAAGAAAAAATCTATACGTAAAAAATCTAAGGGACACACACACACACACACACACACACACACACACACACACACACACACACACACACACACACACACACACACACACACACACACACACATACACACAAAAAAAAGCTCACCAAGACGTAAAATACACATAAATTCTTACGTAAAGTACCTATATAACCTGAAACAGCCCCCCCTCTCTCTCTCTCCAGGCCCGAGCATCCTAGCGGGCGTGGGTGTGCTGGTCCTCCTCGTCCCCCTCAACAGCTACTTGGCGAACAAAATGAAGTCGCTGCTTGTCTCGACCTTGAAATTCCGCGACCAGAGGGTGAAGATGGTCAGCGAGATCATCAGCGGAATCAAGGTGCTTGGAAGCTTCATTACCACGCTGGTTGATTTAGTTTGATGTGTGTTTCTCTAAACCGTTATCATCATTCGATAAAGTATTGTTGTATAGATATAATTACGTAAATATGATTTTCTGTGCGTTTTCATCATTCTAGTAAGTATAATTACACCATGTTTTTCATCAAAAAAAGAAAGAAAGAAAAAAAAATATCGTCACCATAAACTTAAAAAAAAAGAAGAAAGAAAGAAAAAAATGCTACATATCTTAACTACATTGAGTACATTTGCCTAATTAGCATAAAAAACAAACAACAACAACCAATTTTCGAACTTTAATCTACTAACAAACCTTTACCCACAAAGGTCCTGAAACTTTACGCCTGGGAAGGCTCGTTCGCTGCCAAGGTGGAGGAGATCAGAGCCGAGGAAATCGTACGTCTCAAGAAGGTAGCCTTTTACAAAACCTTCAACAGCCTCGTGTTCAATTCGGCTCCCTATTTGGTAAGCTCACACATGGCTGTAATCGCTCGTAAGTTTGTGTAAGAAGCAAACACACACGCACACTCATAGTCTCTCTCTCTCTCTCTCTCTCTCTTGTTCTCTTTCTCTTTTTCTTTCTCTTTCTCTTTCTCTTTCTCTTTCTCTTTCTCTTTCTCTTTCTCTTTCTCTTTCTCTTTCTCTTTCTCTTTCTCTTTCTCTTTCACTTTCTCTTTCTCTTTCTCTCTCTCTCTCTCTCTAGATACTTTTCAAGCATAACTCATGGTTGTTCTTATAGATTTTGTTGGTGTAAATAATAATATAAGAAACTAAATGGTTCAGTTGCATATTGCATTGTCCTGGAATAATAATAAAGAACATCTAATTGATATATTGATATTTGCGTAAAAAAGTGTGAAAAATTGTAATGAATATTATATTATTAGTATCATTGATGATAGTAATAATGATTATGATAACAGCAATAATAATGATCAGAATCATGAAATAGAAACCATAAGAATGATTTAAACTACGTAAATGATTCAACACTAAACAAAAACATTAATCATTAATCACTATTATCATCATCACCATAACTATCATCATCACCATCAACAAAACCATCATCACACACAATACCCCCCTGCCATCACCACCAGGTCGCGCTTGCCACCTTCACCACCTTCCTGCTCGCGTCTCCGGACAATGTTCTCGATGCCAAGAAAGCCTTCGTGTCCATTTCCCTCTTCAATCTCCTGCGGCTGCCCTTGATCCAGCTGCCGACCATCATCTCCCAGGTGATTCAGGTAAGAGGGGGGCGGGAGAGGAAAAAAAAAGCGTTTATTTGCACAAACACGCACGCACGCACGCACGTACACACACACACACACACATACACATACACATACACATACACATACACACACACACACATACACATACACATAGACACACACACACAGACACACATACACATACACACACACGCATACACACACACACACACACACACACACACACACACACACACACACACACACACACACACACACACACACACACACACACGCGCACACACACACACACACACACACACACACACACACACACACACACACACATATGTATGTATATTTATTTATTCATTTCTTTATATTATTTCTATTTTTTTGGCGACATTCATTTTATTTTATTTTTGACAAAGAGAGAGAGAAAAAAAAGAAACATTTATATCATGTTATGCATTACTTTGTTTTTCATGATTTCCATTTTATATACATTCATATCTTCCCACCCACTGCTGCATTTCTCTTCCATGCATCTTAGTCATGCATCTTATCATACTAACATTCAATTCCTGATCTTTCTCCATCGACATTCTATTATATCATTTTGTCATTGTTAAACTAGTACATTATTCATTATTTTTCTCCAATGGAATTCTATTTTTTTGTCATACTAGTACACTATTCCATGTTTTTTCTCCTGACGAATTCTTACACGTTTCTTACTGTTAAACAGTTACTCTTCATTATTTTTCTTGAATAAAATTCTGACCCTAATTTCTTCATTATAAAGCCAGTATACCATTCATCATTTGAATATCCTTTTTCTCATTGTTATTTTAGTATAGTGTTCCTTATTTCACGCTACTAAAAATCTATAATTTCTCTCTCATTGTCATCCATTCCTTATTTTCCTTCCTTTAAATTGTAATGTATATATATATATATATATATATATATATATATATATATATATATATGTGTGTGTGTGTGTGTGTGTGTGTGTGTGTGTGTGTGTGTGTGTTTGTGTGCGTGTGTGTGTGTGTGTGTATAATGTTTGTGTGTTTCTCTCCGCTCAGGCAAACGTAGCCCTTCAGCGTGTCCAGAAGTTCATCTCTGCGGACGATATTGATCCAACGGCAGTGTGCAAAGACCGTTCAGAAGGTGAGTGTAAATATAGGTGTGAATAAGTACGAAAAAGTCTAAAGTGTAATGGAATTACATGTATTTAATACGTGCTTGGAGTATCTTGATTTCTGAATGTATCTTGAGTTGCTTGAATTTCATTAGTTATTTTATATGTGACAGATAAAGTGAACTATTCCTTCAGTTTATATTCTTTAATAAGCATTTGAGTTGTGTTGGTTATTTACATCCCCGAACCATTTACTGGCTTCTGCAGTAAGCAGAAATATCTAGCTCACTTAACATTTTTCTTAGTTACTTACACCAGTAATTGTATAATTAAGGTTTCTGGGAAATCGAATGGGGTTCCCATTTTTCCTCAGAAAAAAGGTCTCTTGAAAGGAGTGTTTGAAAGAGTACAGCGAAAATAATCATATGTTTACTATAATCCTTAGTTCATCTGTGGCATCACCCAAGTGCACACAATTCAAATGAAGTTTTCTTGTGTATATTGTAGCCGCATACATAATCTTCATATGATATGTATTACAGTGGCCAGTTTAATTAATAATACCCATGATTGCAACTATTATTACATATTCTTTCTCAAAAGACCACCTAGTATAATATTATATGACTGAAATGTTGAAAATACCATTTTATATTTTGCCTTTCCTTCGCAGCTAATGCTATTGCCATTAGAAGCGGCAGATTCAGCTGGGAAGGGGATGAGGCTCAATCAGCATGGCAGCTGGAAAACATAGACCTGGAAGTCGGCCATCGGAGACTGGTGGCAGTGGTGGGATCCGTAGGAGCCGGCAAGAGCTCCCTCATCTCGGCACTCTTGGGGGAGATGAAGAAGGAAGCAGGCAGGGTCGTGGTAAATGTAAGTAAAGGAAGCGAGATACAAGTGCAGTGGCCTGGGTTGTACTTTTGAGGAAACACCTTGAAGTTGAAGATATTTATTCCTTTGCCTGTCATCAAAGTGGATTCCTCACCAAACACACAGGGCCGCGTGGCGTATGTATCCCAACAAGCATGGCTCCAGAATGCAACCTTGAGGGACAACATCATTTGGGGAGAAGACTTCGACGCCAAAAGGTACAAAAAGGTGGTCAATGCTTGTGCTCTTCAGCCTGACCTCGACATGCTACCTGGAGGAGACATGACCGAGATTGGAGAGAAGGTTGGGTTATAAATTCATGTTTTATGCGTTGCTATTGAGGGTGGGAGGTCCGCTGATAATACCAATATTAATGATAATGATGATGACAATGAAATATTAATATCAATAATAATGATAACGATGATAAAGTGTTTCTATCATAGTTGTTTTAAAATCAGGGATTGGGGGTAAACAGTATCGTTCTTTTTCAGTGTAAAACAACATTTATAAAATTTTAAGACCTCCGAAATACAAAACAGTATAGACTTACTAAACGAGGTCAGCTGATAATACCAATATTAATGATAATGATGATGACAATGAAATATTGATATCAACGAAAAAAAAAAGTTTCCTGGGTAACAACTCATCATCAGGCAAATGACATGAATT